AATATTAATTGGCAGTCATCCGGGCAAAATTCGCGCATGTAATAAAATAATGTAACCTGCTCCAAGTACAAGCATTTTCCTGCCAGCTTTAACTCCGGATTTGCGCACGCCATGGATCCCAACGGACAAGGGCTCAAGCAAGCTGCCTTCATCCATTGTCATGTTGTCGGGCATCCTGAAATCATTTTGTGCCAGTTATAAATTTGAATGTGTATCAAATGCTAACGGCGAAAAGCAGTATCCGAACAACTTTTTGTTAATTTCGATCAAATAAGTGTAATGAGTCTGCAGGTTGTATCTGTTTCTAAATAACTTTAATTTCTAATTTTTAATTTAACAGTATTTCCTCATAATGGCAATTCAGCAGTATCGCGTCTTTGATTATGCGTTCATCTTTGCGCCTTCTGTTTGAAGCACGCGTTTGATGCAGACACAGTCGTCATGTGTTTTTGCTATGTAGCGCTATTAATTCAGGTTATGTTCCCCGCCCCTATAGATCTTAAAGGTTTCAAATTCAGCCCCCGGGGGTTCGTGGTTCCCGCGTACGGCGCCGTGAGGTATCCTGGCGCGAAAATCGCTAGCTCGGGAACCAAAAAAGCTGGGAAGCTGAAACTTTCAGGAAATGTTCGCAACTCACCTACAACTTCAGTTTATCAAATTCAGCCCACCGTTATGTGTGGTTGCCACGTACCGCCCCGTGAAATTTTTTGGCTACTAAGAAAGCTGGGAACCTGGGATTTCAAGGGAATCTTTCCTGTCCAACTATAGCGTGCGTAATTAATTTCCCCAAATTCGAGGACCAGTATGTACAAGAGGTTTCTAGCTAGCGAGTAATCTTATTGCAGCACGAAACACTGCAAAAACGCATGATCGCACAGGGCTCCCCAGTGCGCGTCGTCAGTGATTTGACAAACGACTGCTCGAGCAATACTTCCCTTTTTTTAGTGAACTGGAAATTTGTGTTTTTTCAAAAAATTAGCATTTGTCATTTTTTCACGAAGCGAGCATTTACCGAAAAACGACCGGACTTCATGCAAAAAACCGGCAAAGCAACTGCTAAAATCGGTAAAACCGGTTTTCTATAGTAAAACAGCTGCTACCTGAGCCCCTAAGGACGAAAAACCCCTCGCCTCCTCCCCCCGGAACGCAAAGTTTATAGTAGAGGGGATAACCTTGTTTGCAGATAGGGAAGGGATTATAGGATGGGATGTAACTGTATGGGTTTCTCTGTGTTCAGTAAAAAACTTGACGCTGAGAGGAGCCAGCATTCTTGAATGCACTACCTAGAACGTCTCCGAGGCTGAAAAGCAGATACCACGAACCTCGCAGCTCACATTCAGGCCAATAAAATATTGCACCGCCAAGCTAATTTTCAGCAAATTCCAAATTCGCGGTCTTCAAAAAGCTTGCAGTAAATACGCAGTCCCGGTGAGGCAAGCCTTTCGGGTATTTGGAGGTATCCCAGAAGTGTCAAGTACCCGGAGGAACAACACGAACAAGAGATGAGGGGGCACGTGGAGTGGAGCGACCCGCCTTAATATGAGAAGTCTCTACTTATGGCAGCGAAAAGTCAGTCCGGAACACAACGGAACCCCCCCACAGTCACCATCATACCTCCAACTGAATCCCCCAACTTGCCTTCATTTCGCACCAACCGCACCAAATCGAATTCGACTACACGACCCTAAAGCGTGCGCAATGCTTCACTGCACTCTGGCGGGCTGTCATTTCACGCAGGGACTCCATTCCACCTACTGAAGCTCAATTTTTGCTGCTGCGTCTAAGCCACTTTTATGCGTTTTTGCAGCTTCGAGGGTCAGTATTTCACAGGGCTAGCTACTGTGATTATTTGCGATCTTGTTGCTGTATGAAAAGTGCAAAAATGCGTAATCGCACCGCCTCGCCTGCTGAGTTCCAGTCTTGGTTTTATTGGACGAGCATTCACCAGAAAAACGGCCGACCTTCATGCAGAATTTGGTAATAATGCATGCTGGAAGTCCATACGGTTCCATAATGCAACACTTTCATCCTCGCCGACGAGCTTTCTTCCAGCATGCGGAAAGAGATCAAAATACTGTCACTATGAGTCCAGGTGTTAAGCTGCAGCGCAGGTACCATTCTTGCTGTGAGTGATCTGCTAGTTTAGCGCAAAAACGTATGATCACACCGGCAAGCTTGATGTGTTGCAGCCTGGGTTTTTATGTGTTTTCGCTGTGCAGCGCTATAGTAGCGCTATAGCGCTGCTACAGCCAGCAGAGTCGCATATTGTCAAGAGGTCGTCTGTGATGTGTGTTTACTCATTTCAGCTCGCAATTGGCCCTGTGCTAACTCGGAAACTTGCCGGAAGACAGCGGCTGAAATTTTGTCAGCATGTTTGTCGCCCATATTGAAAACGTATACTTAAAATGAGTACCGATTTACACTTGCGTTGCGAATTAAGGCACTTCAAAGATATTTATAGCGAAGTGGATATTTCACTTACCGGATAAGTTGAAACTTCGCTGGGACATTCTGTTTTCAGCTGCGATGTCAATTCTGCTTTTGAGTGAAATTCCCTGCAGGTAGGCGTGAGAAATACTCAACTTTAATGAAAAATCAGAAACGAATGCGTTTTGTAGCGAACGATCGCCCTCATCCAAATATGTAAATAAATTCCAGCTATCACATGTGCCTGTGCCTGCGCCACGCGCACGGACACGTTAAAGTTCGCCGTTGACTCCGCTCCAGTCCAAGAACTAGCCGGAAAATGATAGTTAAAATTTTCCGAAAATATTTATTGTCGAAGTGGGGAATCGTGTACCTCAGTGGAGCTTCGAATTACACTTGTGCATCTCCTTAAGGCACATTAAAGATATTTGTGTTCATTTGTGGTTTAAATTCAGCTTTTTTGCTTTCTTCACTTTTTTCTTTCAGCGCAGTAATTAACGCCTTTCACTTGGAGCGATCCCACAAATCCTTTTTCTTACACAAGCATTCACTTCAAAATTACCTGTAACAAAAGTCAGCATCATGAGCAGCATACTGTTTAAATAAACCGTTCGTTGGTGGTAAGCCATTGAAAGCTTGATTTTGGCATAGGTGGTACCGTCCGCTTTTACAGTAATGACATTTCCGACACGATACGCCTGGTTCGAGTGCAACTCTATCTCCTGTAAAACTGCGTAAACGCACGCTGTCAAAAGTTTGTTGGTGTGTGCGCATATTCGTTCGGACTCTGTCACACTTTAGATTCAGAATCGGAAAAGCTAGGAAACTGCAGTTAAGATAGATATCTCCAATTTGTACGCACCCTACAGACGTAAAAATGACTGTTATGTATGCCTGTGTCTCATATATGGAAGTCTGAGACCGGAACTAAAAGGAAACTAAAATCCAACAAACTAGTAAGCTAAAATTTTATAAGAATGTGCTTTCCATATGCGACTTAAAGATTTAAAATTCAGCCCTTACGTGGGCTTACATGTCGCACTCGGGCGTATCAGAGATGTTTTTGGCTGAAAACAATTTTGAGTGCTAGCTAAGCTAGGAAATTGAAGTTTATGCGTGACGGCATAAGAGCAAAGTAAGCTCTCGTGAACATCTTTACTTCGCAGTCGAATACTTTAGTTGTTCAGCTTGCAATACTGTCGGAATCCTGTTCTTTTCAAAATCATCTGACGGAAGCTAAAACCACGCACCAACGTCTCCTGACCATGTGCGGTCCAAAAACCAAAAGTCAGCCTCCGTGTACAATCATATCTCGGGTACGGACACATCAAACTCCAGGGTTACGCAGTTGTGGGCTTTTTAACGTGAGAACGAGTTTGAGTAGAAAGCTGCGCCTTTACATTAATTTTTAACAGCCCGAATGATCTACGTCACACTCGTCTAAAAGCCAAAATTACATTTGAAAAGATGCCGGCAACCTCGTTGATAACCCAGGATGAAACGTACCAGGTGGGCTGATGCTATCGTGCGTTTTTGCATTGTTTCGTGCTGTAGCGAGAACGCCAGGAATCACAGTAGCTAGAACAGGTGACATACTGGCCCTCAGAGCTCAGGAAGTTAATTATGCAACTAGGTGGTGTGTCAGCTATAGATGTCTGCTTCAGTGACCTGACAAGCAGAAAGTTGCTGGTGCGCGAAAAAGACCCTACTAAAAGAGTTGAATTTGAAAGCTTTTTGTCGCATGTGAGTAAAGGACGCTCCCTTAAATTCCCAGCTTTCCAACTTTTCCCGCTCTCGAGTCAACAGTTTTTGCAGCAAAACATTCACGCACCCGTACGTGAGACACAGGACGTGCGTGACAATTGATATCACGCTCCTGGAGTCATGTTTGGCCAAGGAACACACTGGCAAAGTTCCAACTTTAAAGCTTGCGTGGCTGTTGAGTAAAACACTCGGAAAGACGAATATCCACGCAAGTAGAGTTGTCGCAATATGCGTTTTGCTGCCTGTTGCAGAGCTCTTGCGCTGCACGGCAAAAACTCATAAAAATCAAACGTGCTGGAAAACTGAAATTTCGCAAGGCCACAGAGTGAAACAGCACCGATTCAAAAGATCTTTTTCTCCCAACCCGTGAAAGAAAAGATCAATAAGAAATACTAGTGCACTTATCTAACTGTGATGTTTTGAATATCCATACTATTATCGATTCTACTGCTTCTGGAAACTGTACCAATGCGCATAATTGCACAGAGAACCCTATCTATTTAGTGAAAGGACTTTTCATTAAAACACAAGTGGAAATGAGTGCAAGCCACTGCCACCAACTTCTCAATCCAGACTGAAAGCGAAGCTTACCAACTTTAAAGTCCTTGACGCTACGGCCGAGCTCAACGATGATTCCGGCTCCTTCATGCCCCAGCACAAAAGGCTTATCAATTTTGATCCCACCAATCGAGCCATTCCGATAAAAATGCATGTCAGTGCCGCAGATGCCTACGGTATCCATCTTCACCAGTACCTGATCCTCCTTTGGTTTTGGAACGCTGCATTCCATGATACGCATGTCCTGTGGACCATGAAGTACAGAGCAAATATTTTTTTCGAACGCGTATGTACGAGCAGACTGAATCAGGAAATGCAACACTCCTGAAACTGACTGACTTTCTGCTGATGTCATTTTGTCAAAACTAGCTTTAAAAAAACGCCTGCAGCAGTTAATAACAATGTTAGATGCTAATTGAAATATCCCAAGCCTGAAATTAAAAATTATGTAGAATAACATTTAGGTGACGATATATAATTCGGAAAACTCAGTGCTTTGTTTTCGTACTTTCAAAAACAAGATTTTTCCATGCAGATATTTTTTATTTTACGCAGTTAAAATTTTTCCAGTACTCCTGTGATGTCAAGTTTCCGTTTTTATGCGTTTCTGCACATATGCAAATGCAAAAACGCATGTTGGCAAAAGGCTGTGTGTGTTTTCGCACTTCCTGTCACCCACTTTCAACTCGAGAACCAGGAAAGCTAGAGAGCTGAAACTTCGGGAGTATATGCCCATCGCCTTTGCGACCCTCCCGTCTTTATGCGTCTTTACATTTATGTAAATTGCAAATTATGCATTTTTGCATGCATGCAAATTGCAACTCAGGCTGGAACACACCAGGCTCTCCGGTACGATCGTGCGTTTTTGCACTAAACTCACAGACCGCTATTAGCAGGAATGATCACTACGCTGTAGCCTAACACTTAGGTCATATTGGCATGCTTTGATCCTTTTCGGCATGCAGGAGGAAGGAGATCAGTTGGGATGAAGCTGGTGCGTTATAGAGCCGCACGGACACCCAGGTGCATGATTACCGATTTTTATACGTTTTAGCATAATATGCAAAAACACATGTTGTGACGATCCC